TAAACAATTTTTAAATTTATGAAGATGATTGTAGAAAAATTTCAAGCGATGCTGATGTTAATATATACGTTCACTAATTAAGTTATTTTAACGAGATAATTTGAACTAAAATGTTGACAGTATTGTTGGGAGATATATGACGTTTTATTCGACGACATCAACTACAAAACTTATTTTTAAATGTACGTCACAGTTGTTATGACACTGGTTGAGTGAGAACAGATTTTCTAAAGTTAAACAAACATGTCCTGAAGCTATTTGTAGCTAGCCATGACCTTAAATATCACACAGTTTTGACTTTATCTATGTTTTACAATAGAAGAAAACGCAACGTAACTGTATTTTTTTATACAGTAAAGAAGCTTTCGAGTTGCATTTTTTCATGTAATTTTCATCTCATGATGGTCAAGAAGATCATTAGATATACAAATGACGTTATCATTCGACTGCTTCCAGCCAAATTTCTCACAAGTTATAATTACTAATTAGTTATTTTAAGCTAAATATTGATCAGATTTAACTCACAAAGTTGTAAATTTAGAGGTTAATCAACTGATAAGTAACTTAAATAAAGTTACTTAACAGTTATCACTAGGTATCGATGGTGTAAAATGTATTGAATCGGTAATAAAATAGTATAAATATGTTAAATATAATTAATAAATTTTAATGTAGTTATACTGCATGGTAAGTTTTGATAACAAAGATTCAGTTTGTTTTGGTACATTTATTTACTTTCTTAATGCAGTGGCAAAGTTGTGCTATTTTCCTTTGTAAGAGTTATCTTGTTTGTTCAAGGGATAAATGGATGTTGCACCATCTCCACGGAAACTTTGTGATGGAATTGCACTTTACTTTTCCATGCTTCTATGATGCTGTAATGAATTTTAAAAGAATAATAACGTTTATCACCCTTACAGATTATTCTGCCCCTTTTTAAATACATTATTTATTCATGTATTGAATATTGCTTAAGATTAATACTGGAGAAAATGGTAAGTGATCGTAAATTATTATTTTAGAATGTATTAATAAATTACATAGGTAGAGCATATAAGTAAAACTTAGAAATGTAAGCAAGAATAAATGCAAAGTTTTGCATCTCTTGTTGCTGATCTTATCTAAGTGGATAAGGAAGAAGAGATGGAGACTTTTCATGAAGATCTTTAAAAAAATTACCAAATTAAGCAACTTTGTGCGGAGAATCTTGCATTTTACACCAAATAGGTGATTTTTATTCTAAAAAGGCTCCAAAAATCGACATGCTTCTTATATCGAATCTGTGATCTTCCATAAGTTAATGAATTTTCCCATAAGCTTTCAAAAATCTTACTGTTTAATCAAATATATTATAATTACTTTTTTAGAGCAGAATACAGTAAAAATAAAACAACAAAATGGCGCTGAGTGCTTAGCCGTGGGAGGGCTTAAATACACTAAATATTTTGCGATGAAATGAAGGTGCATCTTGTATGTCGTAAAATAAGGTATTTATTTTAAAAACGTACCTAAAATGATACAAAATATAGTTACGAAGCTTTAGATACATAAGATACTATATATTAGAAACCGTAGAAATTCACGCAGAAAAACTATAAAATAGTTTCTGGATGATGATGACGATGGTCTATGGATGTTGATTCATCATCGTCATCGTAATTTCTTCATTTAACAGCCATAAAATTCCACTGATCATCTCAGATTTCTCCTCCATCCTTTTGTATTATCGCAACGAAATTTCTGATATAATTATGTTTTTAACATATTCAAACTTGTTTAATTATCAAAATAAGTATAATATAAATATTACATTTAAATTTGAAATTTTTTAAACAAAAATCATAAATTTGAAATGATTATTCCGAGATAGAAAACAAGAAGTTGTAGTAAAATCGTACGTTATTATGAATAATAGATAGAGGTTTGACCTATCATTTGCATCATTATTATATTGTAGAGTATTCATTGATGCGGATGAGGATTATTATTATTTTTTTTCTTTCTGGAAACTTAAAATACTGAGCGAACTATTTACGGATCGACGATTTTTATGGATATAAATCTGCATTAAGGAAAACAGAATTATCGTTATTATTTGTTTGCTTGTCATAACGTAATGCCGTCCATTAATGCTAAATTTAAATTGGTACAATTTACATCAATAATCATTCGAATGTTGCCCACCATTTTGTTTCTTTTTGTTTGTTTTTGAAGGGGGAAAAAGTTCGAGATGAATAAATTGAACTATTTTGTAGTCGTTTGTATAGGAAAGAAAAAAAAAAATTATTGATTTATTTATCTTTGAATTTAGATAGTCGAAACATTATATAAGTGCATTTTAATGAGATGTTATTGTAAGGAAATAAAGATTTTCTCGTAGGAAAATATAGAAAATTTCGATTTTTTAACGTCACGAATTTGTAACGATTGTCACCAATTTTGTTTTCTTTTTTTTTTTTAAATGTTCTCGGTGTTATGTTTTTCTTCTTGATAAATACATCTCTGTGATGTTTTTAAATATAAGGCTTTTGAATTAAAAAAAAAAAAATGTGGCTTCTATGCTGCAACCTTGTAACGTGTGAGCCCTATGCTACAGCCTTGTAACGTGTGGAACTCTAAACTGCAGCCTGCGAGAGGCCCTAAACTGCAACTTGTAACGTGTAAAGCAACTTGTTTATCTTAAATATAAATTAGACCTTGCTTCAACTATCAAAATATGCAACTATTATCATGTAATAATGAAGGATAATTAAACAACATTTTATAGTGAAATTTTGATCTTAAATTAAAATAAATTGTTTATTTAACAGTTTAAAATGAATAATATTTTTTTATATGGAAAAATTATTCATTATTATTAAAATAATTCATCGAACTACATGCCATAAGGAGGTGGAAAACAATTTTTGATATGGATGAGGAGTATTTTGATACAGATATACGAACATATAATGTCATGATACAAGTATAAGAGAATTTAAAAAGCTTTGTTACAAGTTCAAGAACGTTTATAAAGTCTTGTTACACGTACACGAACATTCAGAAAGCCTTGAAACATTCATACAAGAACAATCAGAAAGTTCTAATACACGTACAAGAATCTTTAAAAAGTCTTGATACGAGTACAAAAGCAATTAAACAGTCTTGATACATGTACATGGGCATTTAGAAATTTTCGGTACAGATTTAATCACATTTTAAACATAAAAGCATATATATACTGTTCATAGAAACAAAGTACAAAGTGGTTTATGATACAGTAGATCAGTTATGTTAACATATGTAGCAACATTTTCTCAAATTTAGCAAACTTCTACAGTGTTTCTGTACAGTGTATACAATTCCTGATTATACGTGAACGTTTTAAATTTTTACTAACGCAAACATACTGTATAAAAAGAACCCATTATTCTCAATAGAGTTTCTTTAAAACCGTAGAGAGATGAAAAAAGAGATTGATATTCTGTCACGTCTTACGTGAGTTATAGATTTTTTTTTCTGAATACTTTATTGTAAGAAACACGATAATTAATGACATTTATTAATTATTTTTTATAGAAATAATGATTCTTCAAGAGACGTTCGTATAAAAAACAAGCTTTTAATAAAATACACAATTTAAAACCCGATATTGTCAATAACCGAGAAATGAAAGCAAAAATTGGAAACAGGCACACACAACATAGGCCAGTGTTGTACAACCTAGTGCTTTGTTGATGTTCCTGGCACACATAGTACAATCATCTTCTTGATTTTTTTTATATTTTGGTTTTTTTTATAAGGATAAAACTGACATTTATGAACACCGATAAATTGCATTCTTGTCAAAACATTTAGCTCACACTCATCATAATTATAGAATTTCTGCGTCATGGGTTGTATGCATTAACGCAATTGTTATCAGTTATAATTCTTCCATCTTGCTGTTTTTTTATTTTCCTTAAACATTCAACAATTTTCTTTATATTCATTGTGTCGGGTGGTGTAACACAAAAATCTTCTGTAGCTATGGTCAATTTTAAAATATAGTTTACAGTTCTCGCAACACGGCTTCGTACGCTCACTCCTTTCATCAGAAACAAGAAACGACAAGAGTTTATGGATTTGTACAGTTAAAAAGAACGAGAAAAAGTAAAGATAATTGGAATAAGTTAGTGATATTGTATAGTGATTTTAATTTATTTTTATCTGAAATCGTATAAATCTTTAACTTGGCACGTTAAATCTGATTAAGAGAAGAGGGAAATAAAAGAAGATACAATTTCAATGCGGTCAGTGAACTCTTTACATCTTAAGCTATCTTACTACTTATTACGTAAAGAGGAGGGGGATGAACCATTAGGAATTATCAAATGTGCTCTTTCAAGCGTCTTGTCTTTCTTTTCTGAATTACTAGAAATAAATTTTCTGCTGCACTCCAGCAATTTTATCATCGTTAGTGATTTCTTCTTCACGCGCGATGTACTATCATAACGGGTGTAGATTTGGCTGATTTTCTTTGTTCGTCTGGCTATCGTGACCTGTTTATTCCTTTAAATCAATGAAAAAAATGTTAAATAATAGCTAAACAACAGAAAAATATCGAAATGGTCTTAAACTTACAAGTTAAAATGTATAATTTCTGATGCGTGTTATATATAAAAATAACAAGTAAATGTATCTTCTAGCATTTTCGATTATAGAACATTCGTTGCTTAAATATTTCAGTTTTCAGGAAAGTTAGAAATATACATTGAGCATTAGCAAAAGAGACAGAAAAATTCTTATAAAACCTTTTAAAATTGCGATTAAAAAGTAATCGAAATTTTAAATAATTTTATAAGAATTTTTCTAACTAATCTGGTGATGCTCAATGGATTTAAACCAATATAAAACTTGAAATTTTAAAATTTTGATAATTTTATATTTAAAAGCATTAATTTTATAGAATTACGACTGAATTTTAAATAAAAATCTATGATTTATCAAACAAAATTTACAATTTTTATAATCTTCTCCACACGTCTTGCGTTAAAGGTAAATCGTGCCATTTTGTGAAATAAAATTTAAATATTTATTAAAATAATTAAATAGAAAAATATGTAGATTCATAAATAATTTTTACTACAATTTCTTGTCGTTTCTTGTATCATTTCTAGAGATTTATCCAAGAATAGCGATTCTTCATTTGCATCATCCGATTTTAAGCATATATCTTCCATATTATTTTTAACAATTCAAAAAAATAATGTTGCCTTCTAGATTCTTCTCTACATTTCTCATTATCATGTATACTTTTTTTTATTCATTTTTAGCATCGATCACATTTACACGCACATATATATACATACTTGTATATATGTGTATGATAAATGATAGATGGAGGCTATCACAATACTTCTGAGCTCAATTTGTAACTCCATACAATGTAATTTTTTTCAACTTAAAAATGAAAAAAAAAAAAAAGATTACCGCTTCCCTCTTTTGTAAGCACCAAATTTGGCATCAGACTTCTTCTGAGTTGTTACAATTATTAGTAAAAAATAAATAAAAATAAGTCATATATCTAACAAACTGTAGTTTGATCTAACTTAGGAGACAAACGAACGACATATAATCTTTGATTTCTCGTTATAAACATTAGAAAAAGCACATTTTTTTCTGACAAATAATCAGAAAAAGATTTTTTTGTGTGTTTTTTAGATACCTTCGACAAAGATGCTGGTATTTTTATATATATTTATATATATATATATAATTTTGGAATTGCCATCAGCTATGTAAATAGTTCTAGATAAAGGATATGTTCTTCCATGGTCGTATATTAGCATGTTTTTTGTGTATTTTTTGTTTTTATATAGATGCTAATTGATGAATCAGGCAGGCTTTTCACACACAACACTTACATAGAAGTGGCTCTGGTGTGAGCTGATATCTTTGCAGCATCCCACGGATGTTAGGATACTCATCATCACATTGCACATTTTCCAAGTAACAAAAGTATCATATATATCAGAGCTGAATGTAAATTTGGTGCTCCATTGTTGTCTATAACCGGATCTGCTAATAATCCTCGAGTTCTTTGAATAACTTCTGTTGAATATTTACCAAAACCTGCAGCATTCCTTGCAGCCACTCGTATGACATAGTCCGTATTGTACACTAAATTCCTCAGGATATATTTACTTGCTGTTAAAATATAACACAATTTTAGTTAGTTAATTGAATGGTATTTACATAAAATTACTTAAATTTAAAAAAAATATATAAAATAAATAAATAAATATCTGATGCTACTTCTACTCATACTGACGTGCACTATTCTACTTTATGGTAATGATGTGCGATTTTTCGAAGAGTTCTTCTCAATATTCGATGGCTCAAAAAGTTTAATAATGATATTATTTAGTTTTAAAAACACATTTTCAATTGATTTAATCAATCAAACTTTCATTAATCCTTGAGCAATGGTGTTTACTATGAGGGCCAACACTATACGACTTAAACGCATGCAACATTAATTCTTCCTCCATCTCTTTACAGAGAAGATACAAGGATTTATCAAAAATCTTGATATAAATTTCTTAATTAACATTTAACTGGGCAAGATGTAAATGTAACCAACTTGAAGACAGATCTAAAATACTATAATTGAAGGGATTCTATTAGATCGTCAACGTCAACATCAGCACCAAACCCCAAATTAGCTAAAGAAACAACACTTCACTTAGGATAAAAGATTTAAATAATTGGCATTTTCACACTTGTATAGAGAAAATAGAGATAGCTTTGTGTTTATCTTTATAATTTTTTTCTTAATATGATCGGAGAAGTGAAGGGCAAGGAAAACTAAATACAGGTACTTAAATATTACACTGTGCACTGTCTCTAGCTGGGTCCCACCAAAAAAACTTATCAAATTTTCTATTTCTTCCGTCCTTTTCAAAGATTTGGTCTTATTTACATATAGTTTATTAAAGGAACATCATTCGAAAGCGTTGATTTTTCTCTTTAAGCAGTGTAACCAATCTACTGTCGTAAAAACTACTCTAAAAAAACTTGAAATTCCCTCTAAAACTCAGAGTTCCCCTAAATAGTTTTGCTCTAGGTGCAATGCATAACAAAAATGTATTAGTTTTTTGATAAACACAAATTTTCACTTGAGTACTCAAGTGAAAATTGTTTCTCTGGATGACTTTTAGAAAGTCCCACTTGTCGCTGAAAGTCCACTAATCAATATTGGCAGACTTTACAGTTACTCTAAATTTCCCCATCCCTCAGATTTCCCCTAAATTTAGGAAGAAACCCCCAAGTTGACATTACTGTCTGTAACTCAATTTTACAATAATCCAATAAAATATCAGCAATTTTATATTCAAAAGACGAGAACCGAAACTGGAATATCCGGATACAAAGCTTGGAAACACCCGTGAACGACAATTTATACCATAAAAGTTTGTGACATAGAGAATCAAACGCTTATGCAAATCCATAAAGACAGGAAAACAATTAACCTAAGAGGCATTTGTATTAAACCACACAAGAGAAAAAAGTTATATTCATAGCCTTTGTTTATATAATGCACCATGGAAGGATGTGCAGATAGTATGATTATTAACCCATAGCAGTAATCTTTCATATAGACTAATATTGACAAAAAAATTTTTCTAATGACATTTTTTAGATTGATCACCCTGTAATTCTCTGGCCTCGACTATTTTTTATACAAATATATTGCATCAAATTTACAGTAACAAATTATCCAACATGCTCATTCATTCCCTCATTTGTAATTCCATCTTCACCGGGCTTTCGATGATCTAATTATGTTTATAACATACAGTAATTCATTCATTTCAAACTTCTCTATCTTTCTCAGGTGGGTTGACGAACGTAGCCATCACTCCATTGTTAGAAAACACAGCAGTCTAACCTAGACAGAAAATTGAAATGGAGCCCAATTGTGTAAGTTCGTATTACATCTAAAATTCAGGGACAAGACCAATGACACATGATCCGAACTCAGTACTAATCGATACCAAATTAATCACAGAAGAGCCCAACTTAGAAATTAAGTGTATTTTGCAGGAAGTGCTCCTTTGATTTTACCATTTAAGGTGATTAAACTATTCGTCATCAACAGCTGGAAAAATTTATCATCCGTCAAGTTTTACATATCCTGCGATATGAAGACATTATTAGTCATACAATTTTCTGGGATTAAAGTATCCAACTTATCACCTACTCTTTCATTGGCATTTTCCATCATTGCAAGGCCAAGGATCAAAATACACAATACCAATATAGAACGTAACTATTATTAATTTAAGGTTTTTAACAGTGTAATCTCGACTACTATAAAGTTTTTAAATTGATGTAATTAGCGTATCAAACCAGCAGATTTATGAATTAGCATAATTAAACATCAGAAGCCCATACCTTAGAATATTTTTAAGTTTCTGATGCAAGAAGGCTTAAAAGCAGCCTCTTACAAAGCCACTTTTAATCTCTTGATTTCCTCAAGTATATATTGGGCAGTAGGTTGGACAGCCAATTTTCTTGAAACGACTACTCACAATCTTGAAATCAATTTGAAAAAATCCACATTCCCAAAACTAGTGAGCAACAAACCTTGACAATTCCACAAGATAATGTTTAGATTGAATGAATCCATTATTATCTTCGAATTCTGGAAACATTCTCTCTGCGTTTTATTATCTCTTACTTCTGAGAATTCATAAAAAATGATGAAGTTTAACTACAAACGTAGAAATTTTTATGAATTGTCAGAATGTCTGCCCGAAGCGAAGATCTTTTTTCATCTCCCCACATGAAAGGCGGTAGCTTTTTTCTTCACAATTTAGACCGAGGGCACAAATCATCGAAAACAATAGATTTGCCTCCAGACTTAATTTTAACAAAACGAGAAAGAAATTGCTTTCATTAAGCCATTGAATTCAATCAATATCAGATTACATTTACCCGTTCTATAACAATTCCTTCTTACTTCATTAGCCACCGTATTTAGATCGTGGTCCATAATTTCTCAGTAAACTTGAAATTTATCAGGAGAAAAAAACTACATTTTGATAAAGACGATTCCAACTTTTCAATTCTTAACGTCATACTCTTCAAAGTTGCATAACACAGTGTCCTGTTTTTGTTCCGTTCGTTTGTAGTTGATTCACAATAATCATAAACTTTTCATCCATGTACAAAATTTTAAGCATGCTTCAATTCGAAAGGATAACACTAATGCAACACATAGGCGATCTGCCAAGAGGAGGAAGTATTTTCTATGCGGAAAGAACTTCTATTATCCACTAGACACATAAGAAAACCCGAGAAACTCCACGTGGCCGGTCCACTAGTGAGGCGGAAAACCCCTTCGCCCTGTGTTTAGTGATTTCATCCACTCAGCCACTGTTGAGCCATTTTTTAACTATGGTTTCGTCCAATCTTACAACGTTAAATTTGAAAAAAAATTTGTGAAAATTAAAGTGAATTCATGTTATTGTTATTGTTTTTCTATAAAATTGGAGTGAAATTAGCATTGGGACAAAGACAATTTGCATTATTATTAGTGAAAGCATGCTTACTGTGCTGTGAATAGTGCACGAAGTATAAAATTGAATTCACCTGAAAATCTTCCATTGTAATGGCACATATTATCGAAGTACTCACCAACCCCAAATTCTTGACTGTTTGCATCGGGCCAAGCTTCAGAAAGTTGTTTATACTCTACACGATAACCTAAGAGCCTAAGATTATCATCCCTCTCTAATGGGTCATTCAGGTATAGTATAAGCATCCCTGGATCTTCTGCGATTACTGAGATCTTCGGTGGAGGAGGTTTAACTGCAATAAAATTAAATGGCAAATCGCAATGAAAATTAACAATCATAAAATAATTTAAACGCGTATTATATTCAATGATCTGGTATAAACTGTATGCAATTTCATTTAAAATATTGCTTAGTTATAGAAAACTAATCGTAATTAATTATCTAGACGTAAAATAGACAAAAAATTAATTAAATTATTATTAGAAATATAGGTGGTCTCAACAAATATGTAAGATCAAATTCCTGAAAATTTTAAACAATTTAAAATTTGAATTGATGTTTCTAAGTGTTTATTGGTCGAAGTAAGAGAAACGTCATAACGTAGGCGTATCCTCGATATTTAAATCAGTGATGCCAGATCTGAAAACTTTTTACTTATTTTCTTGTTTATTTTAGTGGACTACCAACATTTGAAATTATTATTATTTTTTTTAATGTTTAAACTGTTTTAACGTCTAAATTTTTATTGAATTTATTTACATTTTGAGCATTATAAACGTAATTACTTTTAAATATAATAAAAATAATGCCAATAATAGGAAAACGTTTAAAAAGACTTTTATTGACTCCGTCCTGTGAATACTAGAGAGCCTTTTAAATCATACCAATTGTGGATTCGACTAGGCCCAGAGCCCTGCCCAACATATGACTTATCCATATGAAAAATTTTTGGAGTTGTTTGCCCGGATTTGATCCTGAATCTCCTAGAGCGCCTAAGGTTTCTATTGAGGACTCAATAGAAACCTTAAATAGGAACTAAGAATAGGATTAATAAGCTTTTATCTTCCCTATTTGATACTCTTTCCGTATTTTATTTATTATAAGGCAAATATATTTTAAAAAATTGTGAATTTAATGAATTCATTTTATTATAGAATGAGATTTATGCTATCGTACAGTATGTCTGATTTAAAATATTATTAGAAATTAATAAAATTTTGTATAAACTTAAATTTGCCGGAAAATGTATATAAAGGGTGGCCCAAAAAGTCAGTTAAAATAAATCGTAAATTCAGTTTAAATTTACAATGGTTAACTGCAGCGGCATAGCGTGAGTGTCAGCCGCCCGGGGCAGAGGAAAATTTCGCCGCCCTCTTATTTAGGTATCTCAATTTAAAAGACTAAAATTCAGTTTCGTCACAGAATAAGTAATGAAAAATTCCGTGCTATCGTAGGTGCGACAAAAATATGAAATGAAATGGTTCAAATTTTTACAAGATATTATTATTATTTATTGTGAAATTTTGCCGCCCCCTAAAAATGCCACCCGGGGCGGGCCGCCCCTACCGCCCCTACTACGCTACTCTACTGGTTAACTGACTTTTGGGCTAATTTATGAGCTCGAACCATAAATGACTTTCTAACCACCTAAAAATTCTATTTTGGATAGAGAATTTTTAGATTTATATTATTTTAACTAATAATTATGAAAAAAAAAAAATAGACGAGTGACATCGCCTTAGCTACAATTTTTAATCACCTCTAAATTTAAAAAATCACATGACTTCCGGGGTTCTATACAGTTAATTGGGACCTAAAGCTTCCCACATCCGGTCTCGCTTCAATTACTTCCGTTCTCGAGATTAACGAAGGACGGACGAACACACAGACGGACAATAAACAATTATTTAACAGTATAATTAAATATTTTCACAGAAAACAGCTAGAGACAAGCGTAATTTTCACGCAATTTTCTGCACGAATACCGTGCAAAATCAATGAGAAAATGTAGTAAAGTATTAAAAAAGTCTAAAAATTTTTTAAAAATATTAAAATCAAACTAATATACTTTAAATTTTAATTAAAATTAACACGAAATTTTACCTCCTTGCTCTAAAACTATCGTCCTTTCTTTAACTCCTAAGACGTTTGACACTCGACAAAGATATTCACCAAACATAGAAGCATTGTGTACCTTAATCTAAACACATAAAAAAACACTTCATTAATTTAAACTATAAAATAATAATTAATTGTAATAAATATATAAAAATAGCGTAAAACTTTATAATAATTAGCTATTTAAAGCGAGTTAATAGTAAACTATCATCATCAAACAATACAACAGAGATTTGTTGACGTAAGAGAATTTCTCCCCTGTTACAACCTTAGGGAGGAAACAATTAAGGGAAAACTATTAAGGCATGATAATTGAACTGTGTTATCACGTCACGGATTATGTTTGGAAATTAGTCTTGGATGTAATAAAACCTTAATATTAAATGATAAATTATGAACTTGCACAACAATTAATTGAAAACACAAAACTGACAACGATTAAATCACCCTCTTTACTGCTTTCTCTATAATAAGGAAGAGTGAAACTGTAATAAAATAACTAAACTTTAACTCGTTATGTTTACTTTCAACTTACTATAAGTTTTGGGTGTGAGCCAGTTGCATTGGCTTGATTTTTAAGTTTTTTTTTTTTTTTTAAACTTTAGGTTTATATGATTTTTAATCCTGAAAATTTCACTTGTGTTCGCAGTAGGATTATGGGAATCCTGCTCGTTTGGGATAGAAATAAGATGACTCTTCTTATATTTGAAACAGGAGTAAGAGAATCTTTTTCGTGTTGCAGCAAGGGTCTTATTCGTATTTATGGTAGGGGATGAAAGCCTTGTTTGTGATAGGAGTCAGAACTCGTAAATTTTCGTGTTTAAAGAAGTAACAAGAAAATCTTATTTATGTTTGGGACAAGAACAAGAAAATCCTATTTACGTTTCGAGTAGGAACATGAAAATCTTTCTCGTTTGTTACCTACTTGCGTAGGTACACGATATGTTGCCCGTATTTGATATAGGAAAATCGAAATCCTGCTCACGTTAAAAAAACAAACAAACATTTTCCTCGTTTTTATGATAAAAATTAGAACATCTTTAACTTTAGAATGAAAATAAGAAAATCTTGTTTATGTTTAAGTTAAAAACATAAAAATCCCATTCGTATTTGGATTAGGAGCGTGACATTTTATTCGTGTTGTTGGAAGAAAGATTTTCTTATTCCTTCTTCACCAAAAGAAATCGAATTTTATGAATCACCTGTAAGACACTCCTATCATCTTCGTGGAATGTTTTATATATATTATGATTTTTAAGTATTTCTCCATCTTTTAACCATTCGAAACTAGGTGCTGGATTGGCTCTGGCTTCACAGGTAAGATTTGTAGATAATCCAATACTGCTATAACCCCTACGCATATGAGGCCTTTTCCAATGAGGACTATCTGTAGAATAAAACATTAATCACTTTTATAGGGTTAAAGTCTATTAAAAATAAAGTATCTGAATGGTTATCTTACATTGTACTTGGACAACTATTGTTATTTCTTTGATCTGAGAATTTCTAGGAGCAACAACTATAGCTCTACATGTGTAATTTCCACTATCTTCTCTTGTTATTCTGTGGATAACTAATCCATCTTCGGTTATCTGATATTTTATACCTGAAATTTAAAAAGAAAATTTTATGAAATTTCTCTTTTATTATACAGTATACCAAAACGTAAAAATAAATATTAATTTTGCTCTAATAACAATTGATAATTATAAATTCCTTAATTAATAATTTGTAAGGACTGTTACACAGTCTCTAATAATGTTAAAGGATTTACAGTTATATGTTACCTAGTATTGTCTAAGGACTTACTTATATATTCTCTAGTATTGTGTAAGGAATTGTTTACATATTCCCTAGTATTGTCTAAGGATTCAATTATATATTTCCTAGTATTATTTAAAGACTTGCTTATATATTCCTAAATACGTTACGTTACTCCATTATTAGCTCATGCAGCTATTAATTAAAGTTATAACATACCGAACTATAATAATTATAATTACATTAATTTATAATCATAGTCACAGTTATAGTCACTCTATAACTACGATTCTTAGAATAATTTTAATTTCAGACCTTACAGTTATGTTATCTATAGTTACACTTGCTGTTATAATCAGGTTACGTTACAATAATTGCAATTCTTGCAGTTATGTTACGATATAGACGTGGCGTTACAGTTCTATCGTAACGAATTAAATTGTATAAATTGATTGTACGAAGGGTCTTACTACTAAAATTTTAACTTCATTAAATTTATATAAATATTTATAAACGAGAAACCATTAAACACGAGAAAATTAAATCATCACCTTTTGTTACGAAGAGTAAATAATACATTTGACACATAAACTGTTTAGTAGAATATAAATGAATGAGAATTTAAATGAGTGCAACTATAAATTAACACATTATCTTTACAGAAAAGCACGTAACATATCAAAATGATGTTTACTAGATTTCTAAGCAATTTATAAAGCAATCAGTGCGTAACATAATTTATTTACATTCATTTTCGATTATTGAAAATGTGCTTCTACACGTGTTTATGACGTAAGATTAACACCCCACTCATCTACTACGACATCATTTTAGTCCCATTTTCCTAACCATTTAAAGAAGTTATGAGTCTTCATTTGTTGAAAACAATTACTTAGTAATGTTACGCTTGTAAATAGATATTAATTGATTCGTTAATGTTACTGTCACACACTACTAAATGCGCATTTTTAGTCGTTTGTAAATTAAATTTAATGAATGAATGAATGGTTGGCTTGATGTAAATTTATGGTTTTAAGTGTCTTTACTCCAAACATGTATGAATGGAACATTTGTTAATAGTGAAAGGGTGTTATGTTATGCTTTTCTATAATTGACGGCGTAGGAAATGTATTAGAATGGGGTCTACAAGTGTAATAATTACACATGTTACTTGAAAATGTACAGTACATGTCTATAAAGTCCTTATCTGTGTAGATCTGCTTATCTATAATGGATGTTGAACTTATTTATAATGATTTCTAGAATATCATTTTTATCTGTGACGATATCTGTATCGTAAGCTAAATTTCAGGAATATTATTCTATAGCCTGTTTAGCACGATTTCTAGGTCCTGAACCGAATTCCAAAAGCATTATCTAGAGTCTTGTCTGTAACAATTTCAGAATATTGAACTGATTTCTACTATTATTCTAGAGTCTTGTCTGTGACAATTTCTGCCCATTGGACTGATTTCTGGAAGTATTATTCTAAAGCTTCGTCTACGATTATTTCTAGATCTTGAAGAAATAAATCTAAAGTGGGTAATTCCAAATCTTATCTAAGCCGATTTTGGAATATTTAACTGAAATCAGAGACCATATTTATAATGATTTCTAGTCCTTAAGCCGAATTAAAGGAATAGAGATATCTAGATTTGGAACTTTTACAGCTTTATTCTAGAGTCCACCACGACTTCTGGATCTTAAACTGAACTTAAGTTGCACTATTCTAGAACCTATCTATAAAAATTTTTGTATCTTTAAATTCCAGGAATCTTATTCTAGAGTCTTGTCTATAATTTTTTTTTTTACGTTCTTGAAGTGATAATAAAGAGTTTCACTTGTTTCATTCGATTTTGAACTCTACCTAGCTGCTGTAAAATTGTCTACAATGTTATACTATATATAATTTGCCACATGCATTAAGATATTTTCTATAATATCTGTATCATCTAGAATTTCTTATTATATAACGAAACATCCAATCTTTATCTTGATACTAAAAAGTGCCCTTAAACCTTAAGTTTTTCATGAAAGTGTTAGACGAGAAACAATTCCCGAGTCTTATTGAATTCTTCAATTATTAATTTAGTTAAAAGAAAGATTATAGATATACACTGTCTTCAGTGCATTTTTTATATGTTAAAACGCCAAAAATGATTAATTTTAAATAATTTAATTTATAATTTATGTAAATATATATAGAATAATAAGTTCTAATTATTAAATTAATTAAAAATCAATTATTCTTACCGGGTGTCAACAGCCGCGACCTGAAATACCACGACATGATGGGTCGTGGCTCCGCTTTGACATTGCAAAATACTGTGAAGTTACTTCCTTCTGGAGCTAATTGTACTGGAGGAGTGTGAGCGAAACTTATAGAACCTTTAAAACACACAGAATTACGTTTATTTCTATAAAATATATAGAAAATTTTACTTTCAACTCTTTAATAATTCGCTCTTCGATGGATTTCTTATTAAAGGAATCCATTGAAACAATAGGTTTCAATGGATTCCTTTGATAAAAACCCATTGAATAGCTCGAGAATGAAAGCGTAACAGTTAAAATCCTACATTTTAAATTAAAATTACGTTATAAAATGATTTTTGACCAGTTTGTACACGTAAATGTTTCTTAAACAAGCTGAAAGTAAGCGTAACGTAAGAATATATTTTGTGTTCATAAACAAATGGATGCGATTTCGCGATGCTTCTAATTAAATGTAACTTAATTAAACGTAACATACAAACTTTATACGTTCATCTACAATAACTAGATAATAATTTAATTCACTCCACACTTCCTTTATGCTAAAATCAATACATTTATTCGAAGGTGCAACTCGAAATTCTACATTTTAACACATTTCTGAACCGAATAAAAATTATTTCGTTTGTAAAATATCACTTTATAACATTATTTTATTATAAAATTCTATCAAAAATTTATAAAATTAAATTTAAATATAAAAATAAATCTGTTAAGTGCTAAATAAATGTATAGAAAAGTATGAAGTGTATTGCTCTGTTACTATATGAAAAAAATCCCAGCAACGAGTTGCGTAACTTTCTTGGCAAAAAGTTAAAATCGTGTGTGGCGCCATCTGTTACGAAATTTTATTACATTTTTTAAAATATTATTAATTATTATAAAATGGCAAAAAATCTTAATTTCGAGGGTAGAGACGAGTTTTATGCAACAAACTGTGAATATTAATAACGAGTAAAATCGTCATTAATTTCGACCTTACTGAAAATACACACGATCCCCTTTATTTCCGCACCCCTAGACCCTTAACCACCGAAATTTAATAGCATCAATCCCCCTAATAGACAAACCTCCCAGCAAAATTTCAGAAATTTTCGATAAAATGGGCAGGAGTTATTAACCTTCAAAGAGGATGAATAAAATCGTGCCCCCACACAAACATTCATACATACAGAAAAAAACCCTTGAATTTTTTGCACTTCTCGACGTTTCATCTGGCTCCGAGTCCAAAACTCTTAGGCAGTAACTTTTGACCCCCTTTCCCCTACTTTCCCCACTTTTGACAATACTTTTCTTTCTGTTATATACAACAGTGGGAGAGTAAAAGATAAAAGTGTAGTACTACACTTTTGCGCTGTACTTTATATCATAAAAATTCGTAGAATTTAATCTAAATTATACTTTTAAAGTTAAAAATTGTATATATTAAAAGTATAAATAATTAAATTTCTTTAAATTATTGCAAGAAAAACGCAATTTAATGTTCTTCTATATATTTAACTGGCTCTTAAGTCCGTTACGCCGTTACCGTATAAAAATTCAAGATATATATATATATATATATATATATATATATATAAATGGTAACGGTTAACAATAAAAAAATTTTATAACATACGACGTCTTAAAATATGGATATCTTCCTTGGCAGATTGTGAATTCTGTAGATAACACCACCGAATTATCTTTTATGATCGTAGTTTTTTAGCTTAGTACTTCTAACCTCCGCCATTTTAGTTCCAGTTTCATTGTAGTTTCTTGTGTTATTTCCTTTGATTTATTTACTTTTTTGTAGCCCAGTATTAATTCTAGAGATATTTTAAGTAAAAACGGCTATTCCCTCTTACGATATTTAATTAAAACGAATTTTTATAGTTACTACATAGCCGTTCTTGTTACCATATTTTCTTAGTTTTAAATCTGTTTTTTATATCCGGAATAAATTTATGGTGTGTGTATTTAAAAAAAGATTCATAAGAAAATATGAAAGGTTGAGTTTATTTATTCATTAGACTATTTTTATTCGTAAATCGATAGTAATTTCAGTTTTTTCGAGAAACTTTGAGTGCTGCGGATCTAACGGGCCTCTTATACGTTCATTATGAGTTTGGGTAGGTCCAAAATATAGTTTGGCATACATCAGACACATTATACATTAGGATTTCTGAGAATCTAACCGGAATTCGAATCTGGACCCCTCAAACACTGGGCTATTCTAGATCTATATTAATTAACAACTTCAGGAGCAGTTATGGAGAAGGATATTCTAGAATTTTGTATAGAGCCAAAATATAGTTTGGCATACTCCAGAACATACATTAGGATTTCTGAGGAACCGACAGGGATTTGAATCTATCCGACCATAGTAGAATTTTGATAACCTTATAACTACAGAAACAGAGTGGTACGGATTATCGAAAGTTTTAGTATTTTATAAATATTCGATAAATATTATATACGATGCGGAAACGTCAATGAAATAATTGCACAGAATAAACATTCAAAATGATTCATATGCATTTAATATTTATTTTCCAAACATGTACTGATTTTCGCCCGGGGTCTTTAGCGTATCATGTGCCCAAAGAAATTGTTATTTGTAAAAGATTACCATACCGAATTACAAATAAAACAATTCTGGATTAAGTGCCGGATTAACGAGTTTCTATTGTGAGTGTATATAATGAACAGTTAATTCTATAGCAATACTTAAATATTTAGTAGTATTAACAACACTATTCTAGAAAGGTATTGTACAAGAATAAAAAATTAATAGTGATATTCTAGAAAGAATTTTCAAATGACCTTGAAAATCATATTTTAGAAATTTACAAGAAAAAAAAATGATATTGTAGAATCTCCGAATGGCCTTGAAAATCATGTAGAAATTTACAAGAAAAAAAGGAAATTAACAACAAGGTTCTAGAATTTTTAAGTGACCTTGAAAAATTCTAGAAAAATACATAAATTAAGGATCAATTTCAACAATCTAAAAACTTTAAATGTACAGTACATTAATTAAATTACATAATCATTTACGAGAAACTTATTAAGAATCCAATGCTAATTTCAACGAAAGAAAGAGATGAAACGTGTACAAGATAAACTATATTTTTCTAGAAATTTTTCGTGTTTCCCAATAAACCCCAAACTTGTTGACTTAAGAAAGTTTCTAGATATTTTAAAATCGCATGAAGTAAATAGAATTTTAAGTGCGACGTCACGATAACTGGGAATAATTCTTTTTTCGGTTAAAGCAAAGACACGATCGATATAAAGCTATTGAATATATTAAAAACAAAGTAAAAAAAAATAAACTAGAAGAAGAAAAAATAACGATAATATTTTGGAAAATTAATTAAATCGTGATTTCTTTCGTTAGATATTAGAAAAATAGATTTGATTCCATTAACTGACATGGTCCATCTACTGATTAATTTATCACTAGAGGCAATGGTTTTTCATGTTCTATTTTTTAAAAATTTATTATTGTTTTTTTTCAAACTAAAGACTTCTGACTAATGATACACGCATTTTTACCAAGAGCTTTTATAGATAATTTAACTCAAATTAAGAATATTACAGATTTCCATTTTTCTTTCTTAAATTAGAAAAAAGGAAGAGGAATTGATAAATTTATTTATAAAATTAAAGAAGATATATATATATATTATTATTTAATTGGTATTTTATAAAAATAGAAAGTAATTACTTACGATATACTTGTAAGTTAAAGTGTGTTGTTACTTCCTGTCCGTCCACGATCGCCGAACATGTGTACCTTCCTGCATCTTTTCTCCTTACTTCTTCCACTACTAATTCTAAACCGTGAGAATTGTGAGCCACTGGTGCTACGTATACTCTAGAATTATCAAATATTTATCTATAATTATAAATAAAATTTGTAGAAATTCTAAATTGTGAATATTGATATTATGATCAGCATATATTTTTTTCCTGTGTAAATTAAGCTATAATTTTTCTAGAATTGTAGACAAATTTTTATCTAGAATTTTATAATTAACAGGCACTTCTAGAATTGCATACGTTTAGCTCTAGTATTTTTAAATGAAGGTAGACTTCCAGAATATTAATTTTGTAAATAACATTTTAACAAATAGCATTCTAGAACAACAAATTTCCTAAAAATTTAAACCAATCGGATGCTGATATTTTGAACAAATTGTCTGAACTAAAATTTGAATTCTTAAATTAATTATTTAAACTAGGATTGCCGTTCAGACAGCCGGATGAACGAAGCGATTAAGGCATCAGCTTACTACTCTTAGGGGACTTGGTTTTAAATCCGCGCGAGCAACTCCCCAGAAAATCTTCATGGGTGATCTGTAATGGGGATTAGGACCTTCTAGGACTCCTAGGACCAGAAGGGCGGGTCCCTGCATATAATTTTTGATTATTATTAGTTTACTCATTTATTTTCATGATATATATTGGAATTGCACTGGTAAAATTGCTATATTTTTTCCATCTTTGGACCCAAGGCATGTGTCTCACGTGCCTAGTGGGCTATCCGGCACTTGATGGCAGAGCCGTAACTAGCCATTTCTGTGCCCTGTGCAAGAATTTGCATTTAGGCCCTTAATTTATTTGGTTTTGGGAAAATAATAAAACAAATACATTACAATAGATTTTTAATAAGATTTATTTTAATTGAATTTTTCTGGCTTTCATTTCAGCAAATTCATTAATTACACCATCATAATTAATATTTTTAACGATATTGTATTCTATTGAAATAATAGAAATATTGGATAATCGTTCTTGTCCGTTAGTTAATCTTAAATAATTTTTTATTAAGTTTAACTTGCTAAAACTTCTCTCGCACGAAGCAATAGAAACGGTAAGAGTTAGAAATATTCGAAGAGCGACATTGATATTTGGGTAAGACTCAATTAAACCAAAATCATGAAGAGCCTGTAGAATATTAAGCGGAGATGCAGTTTTTATATTTTGTATAAGAGTCGTTAATTCAAAATAAAAACTTTCAATTTCACTTGTGAATTCGTACTTTTTTAAATCTTTACTATATTTAATAGAGAGATCTGCAGCCGAATTTTTTAAATCAACAAACTCATGAATTGTAAAGACGAGCCACAGAGAAAGCAAAAATCGTCACAGATAGTTTTCATTTTTTCATAACGCCAATCTATTTGACACAATAGAGTGTCAAGAACACTGTAAATTTGTATTTTAAATAATTTTTCGGGTGTCAAGTTACTTCCTTCATCTGGTGTTTTATCTATTTCTATTATCTTAACTCTTTTTTTCGTTTATTAAGAAATCCCTTTTCTATACTTTTTGGTTTGTTTTAAGAATATGATCAATAATAGTATCTGTTAATATTGTTGGCCATAAAGCTATATCATTTATTACTTCCATGTATCTATATATATATCGAAGCGGTTTTTTTGGACTATTTCTGTCTTTTTCGTTTTCGCAATCCCCCTTTTCAGTAGCATTTTAAAGACTGCGGGAGTTCCTTCGGGGCCCTACGCGCCCTCATAGTTCGCTTACCGCTTAATCCGCCGTTCAGGTATACACCACATATGCGTAGCACTATAGAGCAAAAATTGATGTCAGAATTTCTGCACGCCTTTTACAACCTCGAGACTAAGATTTTATTCGGGAGTTACCGTTTTCAATTTAGTAATTTAAAAAAAATCCTCGAGTAGATTTATTTTTGTTACAAAACGTTACCTTTACAGATTTCTAGCTCTACATATTAGAAAAATCTAGAAATACAGTTTTGTATATCGTAATAATATTAGTAGTTGCCAGAAAGCTCTATAAAGTAGAGATAAATCTGTAAATTTGAAAACTATAAACATAAATTTAAATTTCTCGCTACTTTTGGCTGATTTGTCTGAGGTCTCCGCTACCTCACTACGTCCCTCTAAAAGTCGCCACAGTTGGGAACACTGGTGAGCAGACATCTAGGGTATAAATAAGGCGAAATGTAATCTCCAAACCGCGCTGTAGAAAGGCGAAAAAATTTTAAAATACCATGTATAATTTCTTGTGAACAGCAGCTTGGGCCCCCCTTCCAAGTGGGCCCTGTACGGGTGCACCTGTTGCACCTGCCTAGTTACGGCTCTGCTTGATGGTGTATCCCGGATATGTTAAGCCCTTCCCAATACCTTTACTCCCCATTGTAAGCCTGGCCGAACAAACTATGGGTATGATTAGGAGACCCTATTAATGCCCACATGGCGGAAAGATACTGTCATTCTTTAATTATAACTGAAATTCTTGAATAAACTAGAATTTACGTTTTTGATTTAATTCATGAGGCCAGAATTAACATATTTGAACCAATCAATACCGGAATTAAAATATTCTCGAATAATTCTAGAATTAAAAAAGAAGTTCTCAAAATATCCATTTAATACTTGGAAAAATGAACACTTCTGAAGTAAAATCCTGAAGTTATTGCCAAGAATCGATAATGTAATAATAGAAAGAAGAAATTAATGTACTGTTAGCTGTTAATTTCTATTAAGAGATGAATACATTTACAGTGCAACAACACTAAAACTAATCAATGAAATTTTGTAATTCTTCTAGAATAACCAAGAAAAAGGCAAGTAAATTGTAATTAATTAACGAAACGACAAGAATTTCCACCAATTTATCAATAATAATCGAGTACAGTCTCTATGTTTACATTAATTTTGAGCATCATTCATAAGAGTAAACTTGATGGCAGAAATGATAAGAAATAAAAATAAATTTCCAAATTAATTGGGTTCATATGAGTTAATTAACACAAGAAATTAATAAACATTAAATATATTTAGTATCAAAGATTTCAAAAATCAAAGATTTAATTAAGTAAAGTGTTATTGAAATCCGCATCAGTAAGATAAAGATTCTTGAAGATGCAAACAGGAAAAAGAAGAAATTCATAAGAAATTGTAATTTTGTGTGTATTAACAATCAAATTACTGTTTTTAATGATGTAGAAAATAGCCATTTTATTTTCTAATTATAATTATCTTGTGACATTTTCAGTTTATCGACGGTTCACATCAAATTAATTATGAAGCAAGTTCAACAACTGTAATTGATATCCATAACTTACTTATTACTTTTTAATTTTTAGTAATGAAAATTTATTTAAAAAATCAGAAAAATAATTGTAAAAAATTCGAGAAACAGATTAATTAATTAATTATACTTTGATATTTAAAACCGTAAGAAATTTTGATCAGTAATTATGGTTCATCAGTGAAGTTGAAGTATCAATGATCATGGATTGTAGGTAAGACAATATGCAATTTTCATGATTTGTATGTGAATATTTAGCATCTAACTTGATTAATTGGTCATACTTAGGTAATTAATAATTTCTGTTTAATTACTAATAACGGTTTACAACAGTAATGATTAGACAATGATAGCATAACCTCTCAAAAAATTGTAGTATCTCCTTTTGAAAGGTTGTAGTAGCACCTCAGATTCATCTACAATAGTGATGAGTAGAGAATGATATGTAGAGGGTAGTATCACCTTTCAGCAGTATCAATTTTCAGTAATATCAGTAGTCTCATCTCTGACAAGATGAAAGTATCACCTCTCAGCAGCATCGCCTCTCAGCAGTATCATCTCTCAGTATTGTAGCATCTTTCCAGAATCACTTCAGGTTCATTTACATTAGTGATGATTAGAGAATGATTACTAGATGATTGTGGTATCATCTCAACTTTTATCACGCTGATGCTAACTACTGATAAATTTTGTTCTATTTACTATCATTTACAGTACATGTTCAATATTTTGTTAATTAATTTGTAAATCTTTGTTTCTTCCCAATGAAATCATTATTTGAAGTAACTACTGTTATTTATATTTTTATGGATATATAATCTATGGTAAAAATTAAAATTTATATACTTTCTCCTTTCAGAAAATGCAAGACTCTTAATGAAAATTACTTGCACTATTCTCATTTAACAATATTTCAAGGCTTTTATACGAATCATATGCAATGAAGATTATTTAAATATTAAATGCAGTTTTAGAACAAATTTCGGAGTAACTGTTCGAACTGTTCTTAGAAATCTCTAGAAATTTCTTTAATATAATATTTTTGGGATAAGTTAAGTAGGTTACAATCTTTACTTCTACACACTCCTTAACTTCTACAATGACTTTTCTTTAGTTGAGTATATTAAAGATAAATTCAACTTTTCTAATATATGAATGATTTTTTTCACAGTTCTGGTTCTATATTCTATGAAAAAATAATGAATTTTGATAAATCATTTTTCACTATCGTAATTCTATTTAATAACCTCGATTTTCTCGATTCTCTTAAACTTACTCTAAAGAACGTTGATTCTTCTTGAACTTTCTCTAGACAACTCTTGATTCTTCTCGAATTTCCTCCTGACAATTCTTAATTCTCTGAGAGTAATTATCTTAATGTTAAAAGCAGTATTAAGAAAATTAAAATTGTCATTCTTATCAAAATTTTGATTTATTTTCAAAATACATTTTTGTTGAAAACATCATCCAAAGCGTTGTTTTGAACATACAAATATTGATAATTAATTTAAAAAGTTTAGTCAATTTGTCGAGAATATAATAATAATTTCAGCAATTAGCCAATTTATCTACTTAATTTTAATATTTTAAAGAATTTAAAGAATGATTTTCACCTCGTATAACACATTCACTGTGCTCATCTGGAAGCCAGGATTCCAACGAGTAATGAAGATTAATAATGATGTGTCATAATGACAATTATAAGCTACTGGTTGAATATTAAATTAATGTGAAACGAGAAAATTTATTAATATCTTGCACAAAGTGTTCAGGATATTAATAAACTTAATATAT